CCGAGTCATTTTTTTTTAATCTATGATTGGTAGTGATATCTCATCAAGGGCATAAGAACATGGTGTTAAGCCGGGCGGTGGTGGCACACGCCTTTAATCCCAGCACTCGGGAGGCAGAGGCAGGTGGATCTCTGTGAGTTCGAGACCAGCCTGGTCTACAAGAGCTAGTTCCAGGACAGGCTCCAAAACCNAAAAAAAAAAAAAAAAAAAAAAAAAAAAAAAAAAAAAAAAAAAAAAAGAACATGGTGTTATTTATGCTATATTTTGTGAGTTAAGGGTCTGGAAAATTGCAGGCAGTACCTATGCCCAGGGGTGCAGACAAGGGGTGTGTGTGTGTGTGTGTGTGTGTGTGTGTGTGTGTGTGTGTGTGAGAGAGAGAGAGAGAGAGAGAGAGAGAGAGAGAGAGAGAGAGAGAGACACGGAGGTGGGGATGGCTGTAATATTTCCCAGATTTCTGGCTCTTGATAAAATGACAAATCTGAGTTTGTAGGAAAAGATGTTATGAGTTTACTTTTAGACTGCAACCCCAGAACTTGTGAGGCTGATCGAGGACAATTCTGACTTCCAGGCAAGCCTGACTGACATGGTGAGACCCAGTGTGTGTTTTCCTTGTGTGAGCATTGACCTGAATTTGATATATACGTGTCTCATGGGCATCTAGGAGGTAATATGACTGAAGCTCAGAGTTTTACTTTGAAATCACCACCAAATATAGATGTTTCTCAACTTATAAGAGGCCTGGCCCTCAGAAACCCATCACAAATGGAAACACTATACCCTAAAATGCATTGGATAGACCAAGCCTAGGGACGGTTATAGTTTAGCAACTGGTACGTTGCAGAGTGTGGGCTGTTTCACCTGGTGATCTTGGGGCTGACTAGGAGACGAGGAGGTCTGCCTTGTTCAACATGGCAACAAAGTATTATACTGCATAGTGCTTGCCCAGGAAGAGGCCAAGATTCAAAATTTGCAGTAAGGTTTTCTACTGAATCCTTGTTGCTTTTGTACCACTGCATAATTGGAAAATTAAAAGAACGACTGTTAAGTTCAGGACCATCTGTAGCGATATCTGAGGTTTGGGGCGTGGAGGAGAGCACCCAAAGAGAAAGAGCATATGAAATGAGAAAATAAGGGGGTTGAAGATAGGATGCTTGGAAACACCATAATTTAGGGGGCTGGCAGAAAAACAGGAGGCAGCCAAGAAATGGTACAGGACAGAAAGATATCACATCAGGAGGGGGATGGGAAATGAACTGATTAGCGGATGAGGACTGGAAACAGCACATTTGAAAAATTACTAGTTGGAAGTATGTACGAATACTGGTAAAACTATTTCTGAGGGCAAAATTTTAGGTCCTCCCTGGCCCCTGTGTGTGTTAGTGTGTGTGTGAGTGTGTGTGTGTCTACATTCATGCACACGGTGGGGGCCAGATTTCATGTCCTTGCTCACATTAGGAAAACAATAACAGCTGAGCTATATCTCCAACCTTGTTTCTTGGAGCCAAGGTCTTACCTAGAACTCAGGATCAACCTCCCGCAGCCTCACAAATGCTAGGATTAAAGTTGTCTGCCATTATGCTCAGCAAAGCTATTTTCTGACTTCCATATGATGGCAATCAGTTACATTTGTATTAAAATGTTATTAAAGGGGTCTGGACAGATGGCTCAACAGTTAAGAACACTCACTATGCTCATAGAGGACCCAGTTTTTGGTCCCCAAACGCAGACTCACAACCACCCATATTCCAGTTCCAGGAGATCTGAGGTCCTCTTTTGACTTCTGCGGGCTCTGCGCGCACACACAGTGCACTTATATGCACACAGGCAAAACCACTTATACATATAAAATAAAGTAAATGAATCATTTAAAATGTTATTGAAGTATAAAACAAATGCCGAGACAGCATAGCCTGTTCCGTAAGAACTTACAGACAGGAGCGAGGAATTGTGGATCTAAAAATATCTGACCATGGCCCCAAGCTAATGATAAACAAGGAATGTGAGAATGACTCTGATGTTCTACACAAAAAGGAAGCCAGCTGGCTTAGCAAGGGAGGGATGTGGGTTCTGGAGGGTGCACTGGCAACACACGAGGTTAGAGGGCAGTCTGCCACCACACTAAAATGACTTTATGTGTCTTACAACTAGTATGGCCTTTATTGTGAAAGCTCCAGATGGGTTGCGGAGGGTGGCGAGAGAACTAGAATTGGGCTGGAAGCAAGTAAGTTTCTGCTTAACTTTGATAACAATGTGTCTATTGACAAGTCGGAACCCAAGGAGGCAACTGGGCAGGGGTCTTGGGAGCCGCAATGATGGAAGGCAGTGCTCTCGGGGTGTGCCTTAGCCAGAGACACTGGGGCATGGCATTGATGTGTGAAGAGGACGATTGATTGTGATTGGATGTATACGGATACAACTGATTGGATGAACAGATGTTGTGGGAAGGAAGATATCAAAGACAACTAAAATACCCCAAACAGTCCAAGCAGACTCTTTGTTGCTTCTCAGAGATCACACACGATCAGGACATGGCTCTTCCTCAAACAGTAAGGTCAGTCTGCACTAAGAGCAAGGCAGAGCCAGTTCCTGATGGAGCATCTAGTGAAGACTGACAGATGGGAGGACACTCTTCAGAAGCAAACAGTTGGGATGCTTTCTGTACCCAGCCATGGGGCTTCCAGGACTGGCCTCTGTGCATGGCCGTAAGTCACTAGGATGCCGGATAGAGACTTGTGGGCATGTCCTGTCTGGCTCCCCTGAGTGTTTGCCACTGAGGCAGCTACTGTCATGGACACCAGCAAGGTAACATTGATTGGTCCCATCAGACCTCATTGTTTCTTTCTCTCATTGGGCCTGCACATAAAAAAATGCTGAATTGAGCCTGGAATGAGCCAGAAGTTCAGAAGGACACCTTTCTTCCCTTCCTTTCCTTCTTCTAGGGAAGAGAATACAATGGTCTGAGTACAGATGAAAATAAACAGATACTAATAGCACACGCCTGTAATTTCAAATCTGGAGAGCTAAGGCAGGGACATCTTCTGTCCAGGACTACTGTGGCCACACTTATGGCTAGTCTGGACTTCTTTAGATAGGAAGATCCTGTCTAAAAACAGAAAAGCACAGGAACAAGCAAGCAAGCAAACAAACAAAAGTAAAACAAGCAGAACAACAGCAGCAAAGAAAACAACGAGCAGGGGCTGTCGAGGTGGCTCGACCGGGAAGACCATGGCTGCAAAAGCATGGAGAGATGAGTTCAAATCCCAGTTCTCACTTGAAAAGCCAGGCCTGGCTGTGTGCACACCTCATTCCACCGCCGTGGCTGGGGAAGATTGCTGGAGCGGCTGGCTGCCAGTCTCATTCTAGGTTCAGTGAGAAACCTTGTCTTAAAGCAATACTGTAGAGAATGACAGAACAGGACACTCTGGCCTCTGCGAGTGCATGACTTGCACACACACAAACACACACACACACATGTACCACATGCACTCATGCACACAAAAAAGCAGGCAAGCAAAGAATGATCAGCGGTTATTAGGTTTTTAACTTAGGTGCCTGGTAGATAACGAGGGGACAACCATCTTGCCGTTTGTACACTCTCCTGGTTATTGATGTATTATGTATATGAAAACAAGGTGTGTACAGTGTTATTAGGGGAGGGTAAAGGACGATTTGTACACAAGGGAAATCTATTTTTGAGACAAGGCAGAGTCCTTAATCCCGCTGTTTTCCTTTCACAAGTATGGATACTTTCCTTTCTCCTCTCGGTGGAACCCAGCACTTCTGTGACAAACAGGAGACAGAATTAGTTCTCAGATGTGTCCGCCTAGGTCGTTACAGTCTCCTAGGATGGAACCTTCTCTAGTGGCTAGAGAAGGCCGAGAGGCTGATGAAATGGTAAACCCAGGGAAGAAACAGGTGTAACTAAATGTAACGAAATACTTTTAAAGTGAAATGACCACAGAGGAGGAGGTTCCAAGGGAGCTGGCCTAGGAGAGCTAATGGGCAACAGCTGTTGCACCTGTCCTAGGTACCGGACCGCCTAGAATTCTTTATTAGGTCCATTGTACAGCATGGAAGACAGCGGCCAGGGATGTCCAGCTAATAAGAGGGTCGGATATGGACTTGGCTAGAAGTCATCTGTCGCTTTAAGCCTTCACTCCAGGGCCAGCCACAAGCGAGACATTTTAAGTTAAGTAGTGTACAACCTTGCCCATCTCATCTCGCAGGAACGGAACGGTAATAGTGAAGGCATGAAGTAGCCTTGGGGAGTGACTTGCTAGGGGAAGGCCTTTCCAATCCTGCTAGCTCTCACACGGAATGCCAGGCTGGCCCCCCTACCCCCACCCAGTAGACCAGTAGGAGACTGCAATAAAGTCGGGAGGAAAGTAATGCCCTCTTTTCAGCTGACTTCGTTCCTTACATTCCTTTGCAGCGGGCGACTTTCCAAGATGAGTTTGTGTGTGCAGCCTCAGCACAGAGGTTCCGAACACTTAACCCACGGGGCAGGAAGGGTCGCCAGGCTTCCCAGGCGCCCCCTGGTCGGTCCCCGCCTTCAGGTAGTGTGCAGAGTCAGGTAACTCCTTCCTTCCCTGTGGTCACCTAGCTGGTGGCCAGATCCTGAGCCTGCGCCTGGCCCGCCACTTCTGGAGTCCCCATTCCAGCCTGGCCACGGTGAAAAGCGAGCTCCCCTTGGCGCGAGCCACACACTCACGCGCTGCCGCTTGTTGCTCCCCCGCAGCCGCGACGTGGGGAAGTGAAAATGAAATTGACTTTTCCGAGAAATGATGAAAGCCGCGCTGCCGGCCAATGAACAGCGGCGGCGAACTTCCGCACCTCCCGGCTGGCGGCTGGAGCCCTCCCTCTGCCTCCACCTCCGGGTTGCACAAGCTTGAAACAAACACTGGGGAGGAAGGGCGGGGAGGGAGGAGGGCGGAGGGGGAGCGAGGGAGGGAGCGGGGCCGGGAGAGGGCGGGGGTGGGGGGATTTCCAGCCTCGGCTCCTCGCAGTTTCCTCTCCTTGTTTTGCTTTCGATCTGGACTGTTCTCAGGCAAGCCGGGGAGTAACTTTTAGTTTTGTTCCTGCGATTATTCAACTGACGGGCTTTCATTTCCATTTTACACACCCTAACAACACTTACACCTTGCGGGATTGTATTGGTAGCGTGAAAAAAAGCACACTGAGAGGTAACATTTTTTTCAAATAATAGTTGTGACTGTGCGTGTGTTTTCTCTCGAGGGCATGTTGATGGGGGACAGGAGGAGCTCTGTATGTATGTGCGTCCTGATGCTTTGACACGATGTTTTGCAGACGGAAAATGCCGGGGTTCATAAATATTAATACCGATTTTTGGAGGAAGAGTCGGCGCAGTTATGGATCATCTGATTTTAGGGGAAGCAGGGTCTGCTGCTGTTGCTGCTGGTACTGGGGCTGCTGAGGCTGCAAGGAGGAGGAGGAGGTAGAGAGGGAGGAGGAGGTTAGTGGAGGTTTAATTTCACTTTTGGATTTGCAGATGCGAAGAGGTGGCTCCATGGACACAGATCTGCTCTGTGTGATTCTGCGCCCCAGGTGTCGTGCGTTGTGGGTGCTGGTCCGCTGGAGTCGGGCCTCATTTAAAATAATATTGGGTTGTGTTCTGCGTGTGTGTGCGCGTGTGTGTATGTGTGTGTGTTTACAGACACTGTCGCCACCAGGTCCGAAGAAGGGAACAGGGGTTCTTCTCGGTGCCCGGCAGCCCTTCTCTCCGGGCAGTCTCTGGTGTAAATAGACTGGCACCCGCGGTCCCCATATACCCATGCCCGGGCAGTGGCCACAGTAAACTTGATGGGTGCCATGAGACGCTCCCGGGATGCGCTCGCCCGCGGGGCTCCGGATCGGGTGACGGGCGTCGGGTGCCAGCGGCCACTCGGGCCGGGCGGGCTCCGCGCGCGGCTGGGCGCGGGCCTGGCCGGCGCGCCCGGCTTCCTGGGGGCTGGGCCGCCGCCACTCGCCAGGGACGTCGCGTCCTCCTACCCGCCGGCCAGCGCCTGGCCTGGCCTCGGGGCTTTGTCACTGCACTTGTCCCAGTGCTCAAGGCACCCGAGAGGCGCGTCCCGGGTGGGCTCTGTGCGCAGGGGTCACCTACCCCAGCGCGGCCTAGCTGCGAGCGCCTCCGGGTTCCCGCGGGCGCCCCCGGGCCGGCCTGGCGCGCTGGGCCCGACCCGCCTTGGCTACGGAACGGGCGAGGTGTGGGGGCGGGGAGCCTCCGGGGACCGTGCGGCGCCCCCGCGGGCAGGAGTTGGGGGCTGGCGAACCATCGGGGGGTCTCCGGGACGCGGTGGAGATCCTAGTGCCCGCCCCGTGCCCTCCGACCCGCTCCGGGCGCCGGGTGACATTCGCCCGCCGGCCGAACATGGTTGGTGCAGAGCGGCAGCCGCCACTTCCTCTCCGCCCCAGCGGCCCGGCTCTCTGGGCGAGCGATGCGGGCCGCGGCCAATCGCGGTGCCCGGCCAGTCCCCGCCACTCGGCCTTGGGGGCCGGCGCCCCTGCGTCGCCCGGGGAAGCCTCAGCAAGAGTGCAGGGCCCGGACGTCGCAGCCGGTGCCTCCGCTGGGCCCCGGGTCTTGGATCGTTGGCCACCCTCAGCCCCTCGCCCCTTAGGAGCAGGGAAGGGAAGGAGGCCAGCAGCCTCAGCCCTGAGCCAGGACTGTGCTCGGGCACCAGGTGAGACGCCCGGGTCAGCCGGTGGAGGCAAGACCCTTGGTGATCGGCTGTAAATAAGACACTAGGGGTTGGCAGTCGAGGTTGTCACTGGTCCGCTGCCCGGTTTGCAGACCCCCTTAACCCCCTGTGTTTGAAACTTGGGGACATGTTCCTCCTCCCCTCCTCCCTCTGGTGTGGGCACTCCTTGTCCTTGGCTGTGTCTGTGACAGGGAGGCAGAGTGGTGCCGGGGTTAGCTTTCTGCCACTGGCTTCCCTGTGGCTGGGACTCCGGGCTGCTCTTGACGAATGGCTCCGGAGGGTGGAGGATAGTTAGATTTCCTGTTGTGCATTTTCAGGAATCACCGAGGTTGTCGTCAAGCCTGAAGTCATTTATTAGTTCTTTTACAGCGACTGACTGCAAATAACATTTGAAGTCTGTACTTCTCTGGTGCTTAAGGGCAGGTGCAGGGACGGGTCTGTTAGCCCACTGTTTACAGAAGGTGGATGACTGGATGCTAGACAAGATGTACACTGCCCGGTCAGGGCAGGGCCCCAGAGGTCGCCCCATTTAACTCCATCACTCGCACAAGTTAAGAATTCTATGATTTTTCACAGTTCTCTCTCTTTTAACTTGGAGTGGGGGTGTCACAAAAACAGAAACCAATACAATCTTGGAATCTTGTCTTTTCTAAGGCAGATTCTGGCACATGGAATATTTAGGACTTGAGTTGGCATCTCTTTTAAGGGGCAGCTCTGGTACATCTATTGATTGTCGGGGCAAAGTCCGGAATTTCACTGTAATTGGTGAATGATTATCATTTACAGCCTCGCTTGTGTAAGAAGTCAGCTTTTGGCCGGGCGTTAAGATCTCAGAGATCTTGTCTGTTACGTTTTGTTACTGCTTCTTAAAATTAAACGTATTTCCTTCTCAACGAGTTGTCCTTTTTTTTCTGCTGACCTTCAAAAGTTAGGAAGAACTCCACCTATTTCAGACTGACTTACCTGTAAAAATACCATCTTTGTATAAAAAAAATGAGGGTTTGTAATCAAACTGGAAGCAAATTAAGGCAACGGAGGAATTGCCATAAATTCTTGATGGCTCTGTGAACTATGGCCTTACTTTTCTCCTACCCCACCTCCTGAAATACTTCATTAAGCAAATATTTAATATACCAGAGCTAGTGAAAGCTGTTTAAATTTAGGAGTGGAATCCTTAAAGCTTTGGATATTCAACATTTGATATACGTCGATTTCCTTACAAACCCTTTTATTCTCAGCTTCATTTAGTAAAAAGCTGTGTTTTATTTCTAGCCCTTTCACTTCAGTTTTTAAAAGAGCAAACAGACTGCTGAGCCAACCGCACAGGGGCTATCACATCCCAGCTCCCTTATCTGCCTTCCACCAAACGGGCTGAAAGTAATCAAGAGAGAACTTATTTATACATTTGGCAAATATTTGTAGGACATGAACTGCCCGATACAGTGGTAGTCTGTGTGAATTCATCTGAAAGCAAGGAGGACAGCTTCCTCAGCTTCTACAAAGGCTGCCTTCTAGCCGTGAGCTGACAACCAAAAATAAATACAGTAATTACCTTTGGGGGTTAGTCTCTGAAAGGTAATAATACATTATACTTACAGAGCCGCTTTGGGGAACAATTGTGATACTGTGCATGAAAGAACATTGTGTACATTTTAGCAATCTACAAATGTGTTACTCATTAACTTTCCAAGCTTTATTAGATTATTGTTAAGATTAACCTATATATATATGTAAAGCTTATATGTACACACACACATATATATATGTATATATACATATGGAGGTGTGTGTCCTGGTACATACTTCTAATCCCAGTGTTAAGGAGGCAGAAGCAGGAGGATTGTGCGTTCAAGTTCAGGTACAGATGGAAACCCTGTCTTTAAAGTAAAAGTGGGGAATCACAATTAGGTCGATACTTCTGAGGGCATATAAAATAATGGCAGAGGATTAAATAGTGGGCAACTATTATATGTGAAATTTCAAGAAAATATTTAACAGTGAAATACCATGTGAATGAAGTTGTGTGTGTGTGTGTGTGTGTGTGTGTGTGTGTGTTTGCTAGGAGAAAAGTTAAGTGGTATCCATGGAGAGCAAATGGTATGGGAACAATTGATTTGGATGAGTGTTTTCTTTATTTACTTATACATCAATTAAATTACTTTATCATAGTAAACTCACATAAAAAAAAGCATACAACTAGGTTAAGGTAGCCACTCAAACAAATACTAGCCCAGTCCCAAACTCTCTCCATTTCTGTGAGCTTTTATACAGTTAGAATGGCCTTTCTGAAGTCATGGAGCTTCACTTGGGGGTTTATACTTCACCAGTAATTCTATTTGTGTGCACTTACCTCCCACTAAGGTGGAAACCTATAGCAGGGTTGAAAGTAGAGAACCATTAGCTTTATATCCTCTTTCATGACTCATGGTTCCCTTTGCCTCCATTCTGTTCTTCCCTATCACCTACTGTGACCCTTTCTTGATCTCTTTTCTAAATAGCATTTGATACCCACGCTTACAGCTGTGTCCATATGTGTTACAGGTTAGGCTCTGAACATGAGAGACAACATATTTTCCCTGTTTACAATGGAGACACCGCACCCTGTAACAATTTAAGTGTCGATATTAGATTTAAACCTGAAACTATTATTTGAGAATAAAATACTAAAGAAAATACTACCCAGAAAGATACATGCCCCAGGCAGCTGCCACCCAACTGTGGCCATGTCATGAAGATTCCCCGGGCTTTCTCTGAATTAAGTCGACGGGCTGTCAGGGAGCCCTTTAAATTTATTTTACTCTTTACCGATTCACCTTAGGATAGATTCTCTGACACAAATTGTGTTCGTTTAGGAAGGCTTAATGAGACTAGAAATCTTTTCGCCCCTTAGCCTCCTATGACTTCCAGTCAGAACTCTTGGCCAACTCGAGAAAACTATTCTCATCAAATCTAGTAAATGTAATCCTATCCAAACATAGGGAAACCCAGCATGTTGGCCCTCTGGGCAGGTCTGTATTAAGGTGACAGCCATGAGGTACTGGAACCAACTGGTGATTTCCCTCAGAACTTCAAGTTCTGTTGGGATCCAATCATTGCTTTAAGTGAATAGTTAGTTAAACGTAGCAACAAACTTATTCACTTACCAAACAACTTGTGGACAACTGGTCATGTACAAAATTTTGTTTAGAGGAAGGTGAATGGGCTCAGAATCCTAGAATTCACTACACACACACACACACACACACACAATTTATATACATACAAAAGCATAGTACATGTATATAGATTACTTAATTTTAAGTTCTGTTCATATATAACAAACATAAATTGATTTGTTTAAAATAATATAGATCACACAGAGGCACACAGAGACACATACACACAACACACACACACATGCACGCATACACACACACACACACACACACACACACACACACACGTGTATGTGTCCTGAATTGAACCCAGAGCCTTGAGAATGTTAAGCAAGTGTTATACCCCAAGACTTGGAGATGACTTTTATCTCTTTTATTCATTCTTTAGTAACTTCCCCTTTTGAGACCTTAATGTCCATAAAATGTGGTTAGATAGTTCTGTAATCCTTGGGGGACCAGGAAATACATTTGTTTATTATTAAATGACCAAGGGAAAGGAACATTTAAAAACCATTCAGGATTCTTTAGACTTGAGACTGGCTACAGTCCTCAAGTCTAAATCTTTCAGACTTGAGCTTGGCTATAATCCATAGTATTATAAT